CTCTCTGCCTTGTTACCTTGATCCTCTGTCACCTGTGTTGCTCCCACCCTGCTGGTTAGTCCCTGTGTATATATGCCTGGTGTTTCTGTTAATATTTGTCCAGTCATTGCATTGTGTTGTAGTGCATTAATAAATCACTGAACTGTACCAGTCAGCCTGCGTGTCTTGCATTTGGGTACACCAACCTGCTCTACCCTACACCTACTGTAACAGTTTTAGCCGAAAACCAAACTTTGGAGTTTAGAGATATTGCGCAATACCAAGATGACGGCCTGAGAGTTATTTTTACACACAAAACAGCTGTTTTTGGACAAAAAAACCTGCAAAATCGCCAAATCTAGCGGTTGTAACTGTATATGATATGATGCGTTTGTTGTTATTATTAACCGGCTAATAAGTCGATTTTGTTGATTTGAGTGATAGGAGTTATGCACCTAATCAGGGCTGATTTTGGGTCAAGCAAGTTAAAAGACTATTGCAGTAATTGAAACGGGACATGTTAAACTAAGGTGAGTCCTGCAATTAACATCACAGGTGTCTTCAAACTTGCAGTCAGTCAGTCTGCCTATTTAAAGGGTGACAAGTAGTCAGTGGCGGTTTTAGTGATTTGGAGGCACTGGGCAAAGAAGAGGCCTCCCTTCATTAATATTTTCATGAAAAAAAGCTTTTTTCAATAGCTTCTGTTTCATGTGATTCAGGGACTCCTAAAAAAAAAGCTGTTTTTCCATAAATATATATATATATATATATATATATATATATATCCATCCATTGTCAACCACAAGGTATTTCAATTGAAGACGCACGATCAAAATAAAGTATTACTGTATGTCAGCCATGACAGGAAGGAAGCACATTAAAAAAGGGACAGAACAATGGGTTGTCTGATGAGTAGTGGAGAAGTATGATAATTTGAGAGTCAAGTCATGGCAATCATAACATCATAATATCTAAGTTCACCACAGTGTGTTATTCAGTCAGTGCTCAATTCAAAGCCCACAGTTCAACCACCAATGAATGAGTTTAAATCTCCACAGAGTCCATCTCAACATAAAAAAATAAAAAAAAAATCCTCTTCTGGATCCCAGCAAGGTAACCATAAATACTGAGTGCAAAAGTTGGCCAACGAAAATAAAACCAAGTGATGCCTCGCGTTTACAAACAAGTGATTCCAACAACAGTTACCTCCCGTAGTCTGGGCGATGTTTTGGTGTGCAGCATTTGCCTGAGTGTATTTATTGTATTCCATTGGTTGCAGGGAATGAAATTAACACCTGCCAAATGTGGGTAAATTGTGGCAGTGGGGGAGTGGAGGAGTGAAATCGTGAGGCCCCCCTGGCGGCTGATGCCCCGGGCAATTGCCCACCTTTCCTCAATGGTAAAACCGCCTATGCAATTACTGTGTACTGTTTGGTACATAGTGTGTACCACACTGAACATGGACTACAGAAAGCTAAGGAGAGAGCTGTCTCAGGAGATTAGAAAGATAATTATAGACAAGCCTGTTAAAAGGTAAAGGCTGTTAAGACCATCTCCAAGCAGCTTGACGTTCCTGTGACTACAGTTGCACATATTCAGGAGATTAAGGTCCACAGGACTGTAGCCAACCTCCCTGGACGTGGAAATCTGATGACAACTGGAAGAGACTGATAGTACAAATGGTAGCCAAAGAGCCCAGAACAACTTTCACAGACATTGTGGTTGATTGGAGGTGAACTCCAAGGTTGAGGTACATTATTGTCAGATCACACCATCTGTTGCTGTTTGGTCCAACATGGACTTAATGGAAGACGACAACTGTCATAAAAAAGCGAGCCTGGAATTTGCCAAAATGCATTTTGACAAGCCAGAAAGCTTATGATAGGATGTCCTTTAGAAAGATTAGACAAAACTGGACCTGTTTGGCGAGTTACCTCAGCTCTATGTTTGCAGACGCAAAAATTACGTATGCAAAGAAAAGAACACTGTACTACTGTGAAGCATGGATGAGGCTCTGTTATGGGAATTCCAAACATATTGCATGTAACCCTGGACTCAGGGAGACTCATCTGTGATGTGGCACTGACTCTGTGTAAACGTAACAGTCAAAATATCTGTGTTCTCTGTGTTATCTAGACTTCAGGGACAACGTGTCTCTGTGGGATGATAAGATTGACCCTAAAGCTGGATAAATAACAGGCTCACTGAGCTCTCCTCACTCATTCGAGCATACATGTATGTATGTGTGTTTCTGTGAGTCCTTCTGCAGAAGACTTGAATAAAAAATCACAGAAAGACAAGTGTTTGCCTGAGCTGTTTATTTGAAAACTCGAACTGCCATCACAGGCTCTGTTATGTTTTGGGGCTGCTTTGCTGCATCTGACACCGGGTGTCTTGAATCTGTACAGGGTACAATGAAATCTCAAGACTATCAAGGCATTCTGGAGCAAAATGTGCAGCCCAGTGTCAGGAAGCTTGGTCTTAGTCGCATATCATGGGTTCTCCAACAGGATAATGACCCACAAATCAGCTAAAAACACCCAAGAACGGCTAAGAGCAAAACATTGGACTATACTGAAGTGGCCTTCTATGAGCCCTGATTGAAGTCCTATTGAACATCTGTGGACGGGCCTGACACCCTTCAAACCTGAAACAGCTGGAGCAGTTTGCTTATGAGGAGTGGGACAAAATACCAGTTGACAAGTACAGAAGTCTCATGGAAGGACTGCCTCAAAAGGTTGTGCAACAAAATGTTACTTTCATTGTACTATCATTTTGTCCAGGCCAGTTTCAATAGTTTTTTTTTTTTAATGATTCTGTTTAACCACAATTCAAAAGCATTGTCTGATTTTCATCAGTAAATTTTTATGTATTATTACTTTTGTCAGTTCAAAGTTATTTCAGGAACCACTGTGTTTTTCTTTCTTTAATGGAACCAACAATTTTGTCAATGTCTGTAAATTACTGTTGAACCAGATGCCTAGATTATTAGCAACAGGCTTAAGGTGATTCACTAGGGATCCAGCAGATGGCAGTATTTGCTTTGCATTTGCCAGGATCTCCGTTTTGTTCAGCTGGAGGAAATACATTTTTGACATCACAAAGGCAGTCGGTAAGTGAACTCAGCATTCCAGGGTCTGTGGATTTGACGGGCAGGTAGATCTGTGTGTCATCAGCATAAATATGAAAAGAGACACGTTTCTGGATAATGTGTCCAAGGGGAAGTAAATACAAGGAAAATAAAATGGGTCCTAAGACTGACCCTGAGGCACACCATATTTACCTGAACAGAATGAAGAGACAGTTATTCACAGACACACAGAATCTATTTGACAGGTTGGATGTAAATCATTCTAAAGCTTTACCAGAGATCCCCACCCAGTGCCTCAGTCTGTCTAACATGATGTTGTGATCCGTGGTGTCAAATGCAGCGCTAAGATCCAGGAGTACTAGGACTGAGCACATGCCATCATAAGCAAACATTAAAAAGGTCATTGGTGACTTTAAGCAGGGCAGTCTCAGTGCTGTGGTACTTTCTGAAACCATACTGAAACTTTTCAAATATTTTTTTCCAGTAAAGAGAGCAGTTGTTTGGACACAATTACAGTACGTCTAAAATCTTTGATATAAAAGGTAATTTGGAAATTGGTCGAAATTTTTGAGGGAGGGATCCAGGCCCAGCTTTTTAAGTGGGTTTACGCAAGCAGTTTTAACGAGTAGATAGGGAGTTGTTAAAAACAGAAATCTAATGGGCCCGACAGAATCCGTTACTTTTGTTGATACTAAGTCAAGGGGGCTGTGAAGACACTGGCTGCTTGTATGTTGTGAATATTGTGTGTGATCTGTGATGTACTCTTGCAAACATGCTGCTCTAAACTAATTGCCCCTTGTGGGATTAATAAAGTTGATTGAATTGAGTTAAATTGGCACTCTAATTTGGGATACTGTTTTTACATTTCAAGTGAAAAAAAGGACACTTCTCATAATTATTTATTAGTTTAACACAACTCTGACTTCCTTCCCATTTATTTTAACTCACACAATTGTTTAATACTCAACATTGATTATTTGTAGAAATGTACAATTCACACAGAGACCAGGGTCTTCTTTAGTATTCATTAGGTTTATCACAGGAGCAGGCAACAGCAAAGGATAGTATGCTACAATGTGCATGTTTTCTCTGCTACTAGTTTATATTTAGAATAAATGACTGCACCAAGGAGAGGGA